TTTTTTTTTTTTTTATAAGCCAGCCTTTTTACAAAGAGCTTGCAAAAGAATGCCAGCAAACAGGCAGAAAAGTTCCTATCTTAAAGACTAAAAGAATGAAAGTCTCACAGAAATATCTGCCCAAGTCAGGACACTGGTAGGAGTTACATATCTGAGATCTATTCTTTTCAGAGAATGACCTGTTAGAGATCCCTCACTCCTTGGATAATACAGAAAGTGAAATAGGAATGGAAAGAAGTTGAGGAGTCTGTAACAGAGTTAATTTATTGGAGTTTAAGGGCTTGAGGTCTTATGAACAATTTTCAAGTCTGGCATTCCTGTGGAGTGTCATGAAGGGGGATATAATTTGGGTCATTACATCACTAGAACCTTGTTGATTCTGATTCCTATGAATTTGGAACTCTACTGATCTGTCTGATTGGGGTGGGGTCTGTTTTCAGTCAGTGGCAGCCTGGTAGAAAGTAGGAGATAGCCTAGTAATGTTCTCTGTTAACTCTGTGATCTTGGGCAAATCACTTAACATCTCTGGTCTTTAATTTTCCTCAGCTGAAAAAGAAATGGGTTAGTCTCTGAGATTCCCTCCAAGCCAGAGAGCCTAGAGCTGTTTCTCATGGATGACAACAGGATGCTCTTACTTCTGGGGCCTCTAACTTTTAGTCCCTTGCAGATCTGAGAGAGCCTGACGTGCCCAGGGCCCTCATACTTTTATTTCTTTGAGTGAATCTAAGCAAAGAGGCACAAGAGCAGACTTAGAGATTCTTTACCCCTTTCTGGCTGAACTACCTGGACTAGAGGTTCAGTTTAAAAAATGCTTAGGACTACTGCATTTGCTTAGAACTATTGCATTTACTTCTAATTTACTAAAATTTTTGATTATGAGAACTGCCAAGGGAAAGGAGGAACTTTTTTTTTTTTAAGATTTTACTTTGTGTTACATACTGAGCTAAGTGTTTTACACTTAATCCTTACAAAATACATGTCATCTCTATATTACTAGTGAGGAAACTGAGACAATCAGTTTTTTGCCCAAGGTTACGCAGCTAATAGGTTAGAGAACCAATGCTTGTGAAACACAGAGGATGGAGGACCTCAAGTGTCCAGGGATTTATGAGTCTTCAGAGTTTTTGTTTTTTCCTTTTTAAAAAAATAATACTGGTAGGTAGTTTATAACCTCAAACTCCCCTCTCCCTGCTGCTCATTTCTTTTCCAGGCCTTGCTTTCAAAGAAACCACAGAAGTTCCAGACACTGTTCTGGCCTCTTGGTGGTATAGCAGTGGACTGAACAGACAAAAATCCCTGCCCTTGCAGATCTTATAATTCAGTCCAGTCTTCTAATGTCACAACGTCTTGTTATCCTTGATCTAATAGATGATGACAGGCAGTATTTGAAAGAGGTTTTTAAATAAGAGTTGAATAATTTCTGAGAATATTTGCCCCAGAGTTATCAAACAATGTTTAGAGTATATTTTTGACAAAGTTTTACATGGATTTTTAATGTGTAAAACAGGCATAAGGGAGGTTACTTTAGTTAAAGTGAGAATGAGGGGTTCTGGAGCTCCATATTGTCATGGCTCTCTTTCCCCAAGATTTCTGAGGAGCTCTAAGGAAACTTTTGAACTCCACAGAATGTAGTTTGAAAACCACTGCAGGCCTGGCCGGGTGTGGCTCAGCGATTAAGCGTCGACCTAGGATCCAGGCGATCAGGGTTCGATTCCCAGTCAGGGCACATACCCGGGTTGCGGGCTGCAGCTGATCAATGACTCTCTCATCATTGATGTTTCTATCTCTCTTTCTCCCTCTCCTTTCCTCTCTCTGAAATCAATAAAGATATGTTTTTAAAAATATATAAAAAAAAATTAAAAAAACAAAAAAGCCCCACTGCAGTAGAGCAAGGGACCTAAGATTTAGGATTTGAGGGTTTCTTTATGGCCATTGTTCTTCTTTCTCATTCCTACCCATAAATTCAGTTCTTTAGTCGTTCAGACCACATGAATGTCAGATTTTCTCAGTGCAGTGCTAACAACAGATTCATTTCCAGTGCTCAGTAATGTCTGTCATTAGTGCACATGAGCATCTGTTCAGTTTTATCAGGTGATGGTAAAGTCTTGACTCTGTTCTGGACAAGGAATTTAGCATCTCTGCTTTAGTTTAATTTTCATCTTGAGGGGGTGGGGATCAGGGTTTGACCAAGACCTCTTTTTGCCTCTAAAGCGTTTGTTACAATTTTGTGAAGGCTTGGCAAAATGTCTGTCAGGAGTTCACATAGTCTTCATGGATACCTTATTAGAAAGATACATTTGTCTATAAGGAAAGGATGACCTGATTATGCCTGTTTTCAGCACCGTGGAGAGTTCAAACTCATTCCTTGTATTGGGTTGGTGGAAGGTACATAGCTACACCAATCCATAGAGCTGTGTGTGTAGACCTGCCCTTTTGCAGGGCTCAGTTTATCTGTCCAGTCTCCAGTTCTGATTGGTACAGACTGAGTGAGAGTCAGCAGCAGTCCTGAGTGTTCCCATCCTCCCTGGGATCATGAGGTGTGTAAACTTCAGATTCATGTTCAGATATCTAAGGATTTGGCCAACTTAACAGGCATATGAGTGAAATCGTGCCTTCTGCTCTATTGGTAACATCATTCATATAGTGATGCACAAGGTTTTTAACAGTCCTTGAAAAAACTCTGCTTTTCTTCTTTGCTTACACACCCTTGAGAAGACTTAAAGTTGCTTTTTCATTCCTTGGGCCCAGCCTCTTTTTCTGCCTCTGCATGCAGAAAGGCATCATTGCGCTGGCTCTCTGCCCAGTCTTGCTTTTGTATTTCTTTGATCTCATTGTTCAGAGGGTCTCAGAGAAACCCCAAGAGCCATGCCTTTGCATGTTTAAGCTATTGATGCTTTTGAAATAACAGAGCTTCGCTGTGTAAGAAGTGTATTAAAGGTCTATCTTGAACAAATTTGGGTCAATAGGTGGCAGTAGTCACCTAGTTCCAAGGCCCTGACACCCCCTGAACACAAGCGCATTTGATGGCCATTATGTTTAAGGTTTTGAGAAAGGAGGTCACATTGCAGTAAAAATGGGGGAGAAGCAAGCCTTTTTGTTGGAATCCAGGAAATGCTGAAATGTGCTAGATTATTTCTGTGAGGGTGTTGGAGGGGGAGATTGCTGTCAGCTGTGAAGGGCATGGTAGCAAAGGGCAGGGCCTCAGGATTGGGCGAGTGTGGTGTGAGTACTAGGGCTTCTGAGAGCTAGAGTAAGACTTAAATGAGGACCAGTGCTAAAAGCATAGAGTCTAAGGTTGGGGGGAGTAGAGAGAGGGAGAGAAGTGGAGGAGGGAGAGGCAGAGCTGTGTGAAGGGACTGTGGAAAGGGTGGGCTGTGATGGGGAGAACTGTGGTTAGAGGGGGAGGGGTAGGCTGCAGCAATACTGAGCCTATCTAATGGGGGAGGGGAGGGGGAGATACTGGTCTCTGCTGCAGCTGCATTGGCTCCCCTCCCCCACACTTTCC